TACTGGCTTTGCAGCATTTCTTCTCTGGCGAAGGCTCAAAATTTCGGTCATGACCGTAGGCTGCTTCGTCTTCTTGCTATTGAGGCCAACGATTTGGGCAGCGGCGTTCACGATGCCACTTTACGGCGGTTATACGGCAGCGGCAAGTCTTGTGAGATGGTAACATCATTAATAGCAGCGAATTTGCTCCTGATTTCCGTCTGGGACGTCTCACGAGGGACAGGATCCTTCAACTTCTCCGTATCAAAGCGGGCGTTCCCTCCTACAGTTGTTGCCAGACGAAGGTGGAGCTTCGAAGCCACTAGGAAGTGGTCAGTTCCCATGTCCGTAAGTCGTACCGTCCGTGTTTCCTGGAGGGCACTTCACCATTTGCTACTGAGCAACACGTGATTGATTTAACACCTTATTAGTTGACCTCCTGGCGCAGTTATCGTTCACTGTTGGATACGAAGTTGCGGAAGCAGTGTTCGCCGATGACGTGGTAATACTGTAAAAGACGGTGATTACTGTTACTGACAACAGGGTTGTCGTAGACGGCTTCGGGAACTAATACTTCTCCACTAACGTTCTCCTGCTCATCGCATCTACAACTGCCGAATGAATTCGTATAAAACGAAATACGAAAAATTCAACCCTTCTTGATTTCTCTTCATATCTTCTGTTTGTCAATGACAATCTAATCAGCTCATGCCAAACTGTCAAGTGATTCAGTGTCAGTTTGTCGTCTGATCTTCACCTGACATTCACACGCTCAGTCTGTTGCAACCAGTTGTTACATGGCCTCGTTTAATATAAGAAGTCCGAAAAATCTCTATGCGCCACATGACGTTATCAGAAAATCTCTTTGCATGTGTTCTCCCGCTATATGCATGCGAATAGGCGTGCATTAATCCTCATTACTGTCACTCTCAGATGCGCAAGATTTATTCAAAAATAATAATTCACACGATGTTTCGTTCCTGCTATGACAAAGTCGATCGATAAGATATTACTTTCGGTTCCTTACAAAATGTTAATCTTGTTCCCATAACATTTTAAACATGTAAAAGTTGAACAATCGACCGTATGCATGTGGCTTAGTACTTGACAACGTTGCAACCATTGCCGGTGGGGTACATGTTGCTGACTTTGGTGTTTTGGTCCTGTTTGCTTGGAAAACACTTGATTTGCCACTGGCGATTGTAGAAGTACTCGAAGATCAGCGTCGTCATTGACAAGCCGATGCCAATCAAGATCACGATGAATACACCGCCGATGTTGATGATCGAAATGCCGTCCGATTCGCTATCCGGCTTCAGGCAGTTCTTTTTGTTCGGGTTCTTGTTCCACCAATTTTCTTTCAGCGTTTCCAGTTCACGCTGATTCAACAGCTGTAAAATCCTGAAAGAGACTGAAGCGTGAAAACATGGAACACAAGCCAACTCACACTGAGAAAACCAGTGCTCGACGTTAAACGAGTTGCCAGAAACGTAGGTAACATATTTTACAAAAAAGCAACAATTCAGGAATATCATATTTCGTTGATTTGAAATTTCTGATGTGACTACAGTGTTGTCGGCCCATCTCTTGTTACCTCAAAAATGTACGTCTCAGGCCAGTCGCAAAAACCATCGTACACTACGCCAAACGGCACGGTTGTGCTGCTCAGATCGACACGTCGCAGAGGCCATCGCACACCGAATCAACCTGTGATATAGTTTGCATATCCCAAATCATCTGTTTCGAGACAGTGGCTACTAATACCGTCTGGACCCAGCAAAAGGGCATTGATGGTAAACCTACTGATATTGCCGAAGTACCAAAATGGAACTTCTTTTTATCGTATAAATTTCAATAGTAAGCCATCATTATTTTAGAGTTAATATGGTAGACCTCTTGACACAGCTTCGGCAACTTTGTTTACTTCTGCTGCACCACGGTCTAGTTTAAAGAAGTGTCTCTGGTGATAAGGTTGCACCTGGCTTGGCTCTGCGCTTCATCCTCGCATTTGCATGGGCTCTCACAACCTCCTTAAAATTGTGGAGGAGAGAGAATCCAAGTGGTGCATTAATGTAACTTATAACTGTGAAAAATAAGGACGGGACAGTACGATGAGCTGGACATGTATGTCTGCTTTCTGACCACCGAAAGAGAGCTGCAATCGTCTTGTGATAGCAACGAGATCGCAAGATGCTGTTGGGTCGACCTCATCCTCATAAACGATGGGATGATTCATCTTTGGCTCACGTGAAACTGCTGAATGCGTGACAGAGGATGTGGCGAACGAGAGAGAGTGAAGAAAGAGTTGTAATGGACACAGTCGATATGATTGCTGAATGCCAGTGCATCAAGCAAGCAAGCGAACAGCTGTCACATTAGTGGAGCTGCACCCCTTGATCACCATTCCAGTGAGGTGAGAAACGAACAGCAAGCCAACTGTAAGGCAAAATTTAATGAGCACCATACGCTGATGGGGCTACGAAATTGAGCTCGATTTGTTCGCTGTACGTTCTCTAAGTTACAGTAAATTTTTTCCAATTAATTTCTTAGACAGGTGGCCATTCGTCAGCGTAGGAAGAAATGCATAATGTATATTTCAAGCCATGTTTGCCATGACCTTAAACACCTGCCTCCTACTGCCAATAGGGACTTCCGTCCTCACATGCTTCGGGAGGTAGACCTCAAACTTTCTCGCGTCTACGGCCAATGGATTCTTCCCAGGGAACTAAGCATGTGACAAACTTTTCATAACCTTTTCAGGTAATTTTGCTGAGGCGTCAACAGTCTAGGTGGCAAGGACTTCTATCGTTATTTTATTCTTTATTTAATGATTTATAATTCTGGTCACGAAGACTCATCTACGAATTAGGTTTCGGAAGACTGCCACATTCTAAAACATTCCCGTTGCCTGTCTGGTCATAAATTTCATGACGCTGACTCGGTTACACTGGAGAGTGTCTCTCTGTGCCCATTCTTCACAGGTCATCGACTTGCTAGCCGTTTACGACAGTGGAGCGCATTGCGACAAATTCTTTCTTCAACAAGGCAAGGAATGAGAAATTGCGAAACTTGTACACTACGCCCAGACTTCGGATCCATACCTCTACGGAGGAGCTGTGTTAGAATAGTCACAGTAATCACGTTGTATATTCTTGGTATTCAGCACCTTTTCGTCTATTGCCCACTGAGTGATTAGAATCCAACATTATCTGCTGACCGGTATTTCATGCACGCTGTCGTGTCGAGTTGAGTCGAGACAGTCATGTCCCATTTAAGATTGATTACTTGACCTCATGTGGCGTGGGGCTAACAGATCGGCTAAGAACTCCGGAGATGGGGGGGGGCGCAAATCCGCTCATGGGACAATCTTTATCTTTACCGCGAACTCCATTGAGAGAGGAATTAACACCTCGTTGCTTCAGCACAACCAACAGCAGAATGCGAACAGATGGGACGCCATGGAGTTCTGGTTTGGTCATTTTAGAATGGACAATGTGCATTGCCATGCTGTGCGATGGGGGGCCCGCCTTGTGGTTGCATTTCGCCGTTTCCCCTTGATCCACCTAATAGCTGTTTATC